TTTTTCTCACCGTCTTAACGCTTTCATTTGCTTTCTTTCCTTTTCTCCTTTTTCTCACTTTCATTTGCTTTCTTCCTCTCCTTTCATCTGCTTTCATTTTCTTCCTCTCCTTTTCTCACCCTCTTAACCTTTCATTTGCTTTCCTCTCCTTTTTCTCACCGTCTTGCGCTTTCATTTGCTTTCTTTCTCTCCTTTTTCTCACCGTCTTAACGCTTTCATTTGCTTTCTTTCTCTCCTTTTCTCACCCTCTTAACGCTTTCATTTGCTTTCTTCCTCCTCCTTTTCTCACCGTCAGTCTAAACCTTTCATTTGCTTTCTTCCTCTCCTTTTTCTCACCGTCTTAATTTGCTTTTTGCTTTTCTTTTCTCTCCTTTTCCTCCTTTTCTCACCCTCTTAACGCTTTCATTTGCTTTCTTCCTCTCCTTTTTTTCTCACCCTCTTCTTTCATTTGCTTTTTCCTCCTTCTTTTCATCTTAACGCTTTCATTTGCTTTCTCTCTCCTTTTTTCTCACCGTCTTAACGCTTTGTTTGCTTTCTTCCTCTTTTTTTTCTCTGCCTTTCTTTGCTTTCTTTTCATTTTCTTTCCTCTCCTTTTCTCACCCGTCTTAACGCTTTCATTTGCTTTCTTCCTCTCTTTTTTTCTTTCTTTCTTTTCTCATTTTGCTTTCTTCTCTCTCCTTTTCTCAAACCTCTGCTTTCTTTCATTTCCTTTCTTCCTCTCCTTTTCTCACCCCTCTTAACGCTTTCTTTGCTTTCTTCCTCTCCCTTTTCTCACCCTCTACTTTCATTTCATTTTCTTTCTTTCTCTTCTTTTCTCACTTTCTTTTCTTTTCTTTCTTTCTCCTCTTCTTTTTTCTGCTTTTTTGCTTTCCTCTTTTTTTCTCACCCCTCTTAACGCTTTCATTTGCTTTCTCCTCTCCTTTTTTCTCACCCTCTTTTCTCACCCTTTCATTTGCTTTCTTCCTCTCCTTTTTCTCACCGTCTTAACGCTTTCATTTGCTTTCTTCCTCTCCTTTTTCTCACCCGTCTTCTTTCTTTCATTTTCTTTCTTCCTCTCCCTTTTTCTCACCGTCTGCCTTTCATTTTGCTTTCTTCCTCTCCTTTTCTCACCCTCTTAAGGCTTTCATTTGCTCTTTCTTCCTCTCCTTTTTCTCACCCCTCTTAACGCTTTCATTTGCTTTTCTTTCTTTCTTTTCTCTTTTCCTCTTTCTCTTTCTTTCATTTGCTTTCTCCTCTCCTTTTCTCACCGTCTTAACGTCTTTCATTTGCTTTCTTCCTCTCCTTTTCTTTCTCTTCTTTCTTTCATTTGCTTTTCCTCTCCTTTTCTCAACGTCTTATTGCTTTCTATTTCCTTTTCTTTCTCTCTCTTTTTTCACCTTCTTACCGTTCTTTTCATTTCCTTTCTTCCTCTCTTTTTCTCACCGTCTTGCCTTTCATTTGCTTTCTTCCTCTCCCTTTTCTCACTTTCTTAACGCTTTCATTGCTTTCTTCCTCTTTTTTCTCACCGTCTTAACTCTTTCATTTTGCTTTCTTCCTCTCCTTTTTTCCTCTTCACCTTTCATTCTTTCCCTCTCCTTTTCTCACCCTTTTCTTTCATTCTTTCTCCTCTCCTTTTTTCTCACCCCTCTAATTGCTTTCATTCATTTTCTTCCTCTCCTTTCTTTCCCTCTTGCCTTTCATTTGCTTTCTTTCTCTCCTTTTCTCTTTCCCTCTCTTTTTCACCTTTCATTTGCTTTCTTCCTCTCCTTTTTCTCACCGTCTTAACTTTCTTTCATTTTCTTTCTTCCTCCTCTTTTCTCACCCTCTTAACGCTTTCATTTCCTTTCTCCTCTCCATTTTTTCTCACCGTCTTAACGCTTTCATTTGCTTTCTTTCTCTCCTTTTCTCACCGTCTTTAACGCTTTCATTTCACCCTTTCTTCTCCTTTTCTCCACCCTCTTAACGCTTTCATTTCCTTTCTTCCTCTCCTTTTCTCACCCTCTTAACGCTTTCATTTGCTTTCTCCTCTCCTTTCTCACCGTCTGCCTTTCTTTAGCTTTCTTTTTTCCTTTTCTTCTCTCTAAACCTTTTTTCTTCCTCTCCTTTTTTTCTCATCTCATTGCTTTCATTTCTTTCTCTCTCCTTTTTCTCACCCTCTTGCCTTTCATTTGCTTTTTTCCTCTCCTTTTCTCACCGTCTTATGTCTTTCATTTGCTTTCTTCCTCTCCTTTTTTTTCTTTCTTTCATTTGCTTTCTTCTCCCTAAACTCACCTTTTCATTTTTCTTTTTTTTTTTCTTCTTTCTCCTTTTTCTCACCGTCTTAACGCTTTCATTTGCTTTCTTTCCTCTCCTTTTCTCACCTCTTACTTGTCTTTCATTTTCTTTCTTCCTCTCCTTTTTCTTTCTTTCTTTCCTTTTTTCATTTGCTTTTTTCCTCTCCTTTTTCTCCCCTCTTAACGCTTTCATTTGCTTTTCTTCCTCTCTTTTTTTTCTTTCATTTGCTTTCTTCCTCTTTTTTTCTTTCTTTTGCTTTCTTTCCTATTTTTCTCACCGTCTTAACGCTTTCATTTCTTTCTTCCTCTCCTTTTTCTCCGTCTTTCTTTCTTTTGCTTTCTCCTCTCATTTTTCTCACCCTCTCTGCGCTTTCATTTGCTTTCTTCCTCCTTTTCTCACCTTTTAACTTTTCATTTTCCTTTTTCTTCCTCTCATTTTTTCTCACCCTCTCCCTCTCTTTCATTTTCTTTCTCTCCTTTTCTCACCCTCTTAACTTTCTTTCTTTCTTCTTTTTTCTTCCTCTTCTCCCTTTTCTTTTCTAACCGTCTTAACGCTTTCATTTGCCCTTTCTTTCTCCTTTTTTTCCGTCTTGCCTTTTTTGCTTTCTTCTTTTTCATTTCTTTCTTTTCTTTCTCCTCCTTTTCAAACCGTCTTAACATTTTTCATTTGCTTTCTTCCTCTCCTTTTCTTTCTTAACGCTTTCATTTGCTTTCTTCCTCTTTTTTTCTCACCTCTTAACGCTTTCATTTGCTTTCTTCCTCTCCTTTTCTCAACCTCTTAACGCTTTCATTTGCTTTCTCCTCTCCTTTTCTCAACCTCTTAACGTTTTCATTTTCTTTCTCTCGTTTTTCTCACTTTCTGCTTTTTCTTTTCTTTTCATTTCTCTTCCTTTTCCCTCTCCTCTCCCTTTTTCCTTAACCTCTTTATTTTTCATTGCTTTCTCTCCTTTTTCTCACCCTCTTAACGCTTTCATTTTGCTTTCTTCCTCTTCTTTTCTCACCGTCTTAACGCTTTCATTTGTCCTTCTTTCTTCTCTCCTTTTTCTCACCGTCTTTCTTTCATTTGCTTTCTTCCTCTCCTTTTTCTCACCGTCTTCACGTTTCATTTTCTTTCTCCTCTTTTTTTCTCACCGTCTTAACGCTTTCATTTGCTTTCTTCCTCTCCTTTTCTCACCGTCTTAACATTCTTTCATTTGCTTTCTTTCTCCTTTTTCTCACCGTCTTTCTTTTCATTTGCTTTCTTCCTCTCCTTTTCTCACCCCGTCTTAACTCTTTCATTTATTTTTCATTTCTTCCGTCTGCCTTTTCTTTCTTTCTTTCTTTCTTTCATTTCTTTCATTTTCTTTCTTTTCTCATATATCTTAAACCTTTCATTTGCTTTCTTCCTCTCTTTTTTTCTCTTCTTTCTTTTCTTTTTTCCTCTCCTTTTTCTTTCTTTTTTCATTTCTTTTTCTCTCCTTTTTCTCACCGTCTTAACGCTTTCATTTGCTTTCTTCCTCTCCTTTTTCTCACCGTCTTTTCTTTTCATTTCCCCTTTCTTTCTTTTTTCTCTTCCGTCTTTCTTTCATTTTTTTTTCTTCCTCTCCTTTTCACCTCTGCCTTTCATTGCTTTCTCCTTTCTCACCCCTCTCCTTTCATTTCTTTCTCCCCTCCTTTTCTTTTCTCCTGCTTCTTCATTTGCTTTCTTTCCTCTCCTTTTCTTATTTTTTCTTAACGCTTTCATTTCTTTCTTCTCTCTTTTTCTTCTTTCTTTCTTTCTTTTCTCCTCTCCTTTTCAAACCTCTTCCTTTTCCTTTTTCATTTTCTTTCCTCTCCTTTTTCTCACCGTCTTCTTTCTTTCATTTGCTTTCTTCCTCTCCTTTTTCTCACCTCTTCTTTCATTTGCTTTTCATTCCTTTTCTTTTTTCTCTCCTTTTCTTTTCTTTCTTCCTCTCCTTTAACACCTTTTTCTTTCTTTCTTCTCTCATTTTCAAACCGTCTTCACTTTCATTTGTCCTCTCCTCTTCTTTCTCTTTCTTTGCTTTCTTTCTTTCTTTTCTTTTTTTCTCACCGTCTTGCCTTTCATTTTCTCTTCTTTCTCTTTTTTTTTCTTCTATTTTCTTTCTTTCATTTGCTTTCTTTTTCATCCTTTTTTCACCCTCTCCTTTCTTTCGTCCTTTGCTTTTTCTTTCTTTCTCCTTTTCTCACCCGTCTTAACGCTTTCATTTCTTTCTCCTCTCTCTTTTTCTCACCGTCTTAACGCTTTTGTTTATTTTTCTTTTTCTCCCTTTTTCTCCTTTCTTTCTTTCTTTCACTTCTTTTCCTTTTTTCTTTCTCTCCTTTTCTCACCCTTTTTCTCACCTCTTAACGCTTTCATTTTGCTTTCTCCTCTCCTTTTCCTCACCCTCTTAACGCTTTCATTGCTTTCTTCCTCTCCTTTTTTTCCTTCCCTTTCTTTTCCCTTTTCCTCATTTTTTCACCCTCTTTTCATTGCTTTCTCCTCTCTTTTTTTCTCACCGTCTTAACGCTTTCATTTGCATTCTTTTTTCTTCCTCTCCCTTTTTCTCACAAGTCTTAACGTCTTTCATTTGCTTTCTTCCTCTCCTTTTCTCACTTTCTCTTCATTGCTTTCTCTTTCTTTCATTTGCTTTCTCCTCTCCTTTTTCTCACCCTCTTAAGGCTTTCATTTGCTTTCTCCTCTCATTTTTTTCTCACCGTCTTTCTTTCTTTTGCTTTCTCTCCTCTCTACCGTCTTTTCTCACCTTTCTTATGTCTTTTTTAACATTTTCTTTTCTCCTCTCCATTTTTCTCACTTTCTTTTTTCATTTCTTTCCTCTCCTTTTTCTCACCTTTAAACTGTCTTTTTCATTTGCTTTCTTTCTCTCCTTTCTTTTCTTCTTTCATTTTCTTTCCCTTTCTTTGCTTTCTCTTTTCTTAACGCTTTCATTTGCTTTCTTCATCTCTCCTTTTCTCACCCTCTCATTTGTTTTTCTTTCATTTTCTCTGCTTTCTTTCTTTCTTTCTCTTTTTCTCACCGTCTTTCTTTTGCTTTCTTCTCAATTTTTTCTCACTAGTCTGCTGCTTTCATTTGCTTTCTTTCTTTCTCCTTTTCACAATCTGCCTTTCATTTTTCTCTTCCTTTTCTTTCATTTTTTTCTTTCTTCTTTTTTTCTCACCGTCTTAACTTGCTTTCATTTTCTTTCTTCTCTCCTTTTTCTCACCCCTTTTCATTTTTCTTCCTTTCTCCTCTCCTTTTTCTCACCTTTTTCTTTTCATTTGCTTTCTTTTCTCTCTTTTCTCACCGTCTTAACTTTTCATTTGCTTTCTCCTCTCCTTTTTCTCACCGTCTCCTTCCAAACTGCTTTCATTTGCTTTCTCCTCTCCCTTTTTCTCACTTTTCTTGCCTTTTCATTTCTTTTCTCCTCTCCTTTTTTCTCACCGTCTTAACGCTTTCATTTGCTTTCTTCCTCTTTTTTTCTCCTTTTCTCACCCTTTCTTTCATTTTTCTTTCTCTCCTTTTCTTCTGCGCTTTCATTTGCTTTCTTTCCTCTCCTTTTATCACCGTCTTCTTTCATTTGCTTTCATTTCCTTTTCTTCCTCTCCTTTTTTTCTCTTTCTCTCCTTTCTCACTTCTTCATTTCTTTCTTTCTCTCCTTTTCTCACCATCTTGCTTTCATTTTACTTTCTTTCTCTCCTTTTTTCTCTTAACGCTTTCCTTTTTCTCTCTCCTTTTCTCACCCTTTCTTGCTTTCATCTCCTTTTCTCCTTTCATTTTTTCCTCCCTCTCAAGTCTTAACGCTTTCATTTTCTTTCTTTCTCTCTTTTTCTTTTCTTCTTTCTTTCTTTCTTTTGCTCTTTCTTTCTCCATTTTTTTCTCTTTTCTCAAGTTTAACTTTTCATTTACTTTTTCCTTTCTTTTCTCATTTCTTTCTCTTTCTTTGCCTTTCTCCTCTCCTTTTTTTTCTTTCTTTTCTTTCTCTCCTTTTCTCTCACCTCTCTCATTTGCTTTCTTCTTTCTCTCCTTTTTTCTCTTTCTCTTTCTCGCTTTCATTTGCTTTCTCTTTCTCCTTTTTCTCCTTAACAATTTAATTTGCTTTCATTTTTTGCTTTCTTTCTTTCTTTTTTCTCCTCTTTCTTAACGCTTTCTTTGCTTTTCTTTTTCGTCTCCTTTTCTCACCCTCTTCTCCTTTCATTTTTCTCCTTTTCTTCCTCTCTTTCTTTTTTCTTTCTCTTTTTTCTTAAGGCTTTCATTTGCTTTCTTCCTCTCCTTTTCTCACCGTCTTATTCCTTTTCTTTGCTTTCTTTTCTTTTTTTCTCACTTTCTTTCTTTTATTTGCTTTCTCCTCTCCTTTTTCTCACCCTCTTAACGCTTTCATTTTCTTTCTTCCTCTCCTTTTTCTCACCCATTTCTTTTTCCTCTCTTTTCTCCCTTTCATTTTTCTCCTCTCCTTTTTCTCACCTCCTCTCATTTGCTTTCTTTCATTTCTTTTTTCTCTCCTTTTCTCACCGTCTTTCTTTCATTTCTTTCTTCCTCTCCTTTTTTCTCACCGTCTTAACGCTTTCATTTGCTTTCTTCCTCTCCTTTTTCTCACCGTCTTAACTTTCATTTGCTTTCTTCCTCTCTTTTTCTCACCTTCTCCCTTTCATTTGCTTTCTTCCTCTTTTTTTCTCCGTCTTTACGCTTTCATTTGCTTTCTCCTCTCCTTTTCTCACCCTCTTAACGCTTTCATTTGCTTTCTCTCCTCTCCTTTTCTCACCGTCTAACACATTGCTTTCTCTTTCATTTTTCTTTCTTCCTCTCTTTTTCTCCACCGTCTTAACGCTTTCATTTCTTTCTTTCTCTCCTTTTCTCTCCTTTTTCTCTCCTTTTCTTTCTTACCCCTTTCATTTGCTTTCTTTCTCCTTTTTCTCACCGTCTTCTTGCTTTCATTTGCTTTCTTCTCTCCTTTTTTCTCACCTCTTAACGCTTTCTTTCATTTGCTTTCTCCTCTCCTTTTTTCTCCCGTCTTAACGCTTTCATTTGCTTTCTTTCTCTCCTTTTTCTCACCCTCTGCTTTCATTTGCTTTTTCTTCCTCTCCTTTTCTCACCCTCTTAACGCTTTCATTTTCTTTCTTCCTCTTCCTTTTCTCACCCTCTTAACGCTTTCATTTGCTTTCTCCTCTCCTTTTTCTCACCGTCTTAACGCTTTCATTTGCTTTCTTTCCTTTTTTTCTCACCCTCTTAACCTTTCATTTGCTTTCTTCTCTCCTTTTTCTCACCCTCTTAACGCTTTTCTTTCTCCTCTCCTTTTTCTCACCCTCTTAACGCTTTCATCTCTTTCTTTCTCCTTTTCTCAAATCTTAACGCTTTCATTTGCTTTCTTCCTCTCATTTTTTCTCACCGTCTTAACGCTTTCATTGCTTTCTCCTCTCCTTTTTCTCTTTTCTTACTCTCTTTCATTCCTTTCTTTCTTTTCTCACCCCTTTGCTTTCATTTCCTCTCTTTTTTTTTTTTCTTCCCTCTCCTTTTTCTCTTAACGCTTTCATTTGCTTTTCTTCCTCTCCTTTTCTCACCGTCTTAACGCTTTCATTTGCTTTCTTTCTCTCCTTTTCTCACCGTCTTTACGCTTTCATTTGCTTTCTTCCTCTCTCTTTTTCTCACCGTCTTAACGCTTTCATTTTGCTTTCTTCCTCCTTTTTTCTCACCGTCTTAACGCTTTCATTTCTTTCTTCCTCTCCTTTTCTCACCCTCTTCCATTTTTCTCCTTTTCTCCCTCTTGCTTTCATTTGCTTTCTCCTCTCCTTTTTCTCACCGTCTTAACGCTTTCATTTGCTCTCCTTTCTTTTTTCATTTGCTTTTCTCCTCTCCTTTTTCTCACCGTCTTAACGCTTTCATTTGCTTTCTTCCTCTCCCCTTTTTCTCCACCCTTTCATTTTCATTTTTTTTCTCTCCTTTTTCTCACCCGTCTTAACGCTTTCATTTGCTTTCTTCCTCTCTTTTTTTTCTCCTTTCTTCTCCTTTTCTCACCGTCTTTCATTTGCTTTTTTCTTTCTCTCTTTTCTCTTTCCTTTTTCTCACCATCTTAACGCTTTCATTTGCTTTCTCCTCTCCTTTTTCTCACCCATTCTTTCTCCTCTCTTTCATTTCATTTGCTTTTTCCTCTCCTTTTCACCTCTGCCTTTCATTTACTTATCCTCTCCTTTTCTCACCCTCTTAACATTTTCATTTTCTTCCTCTCCTTTTTTCACCCTCTTGAGCTTCAACCGTCATTTGCTTTCATTTCCTCTTCTTTTTCTCACCCTCTTAACGCTTTCATTTGCTTTCTTCCTCTCATTTTCTCACAATCTTAACGCTTTCATTTGCTTTCTCTCCTTTTCTCACCATCTTAACGCTTTCATTTGCTTTCTCCTCTCCTTTTCTCCACTTTCATCTTTTTTTTTGCTTTCATTTCTTTCTTCTCTCCTTTTTTCTTAACGCTTTCATTGCTTTCTCCTCTCCTTTTCCTCACAGTCTTATTTGCTATCTCCTCCTTTCTCTTTGCTTTCTCTTTCTTCCTCTCATTTTCTCACCCTCTTAAGCCTTTCATTTGCTCTTCCTCTCTTTTTCTCCACCGTCTTGCCTTTCATTTGCTTTCTTCCTCTCCTTTTCTCACCCTCTTAACGCTTTCATTTGCTTTCTTTCTCTTTTCTCACCATCTTAACGCTTTCATTTCTTTCTTCTCTCCTTTTCTCCCCTCTTAACGCTTTTTGCTTTCTTCCCGTCTTAACGCTTTCATTGCTTTTCTCTCCTTTTCTCACCGTCTGCTTTTCATTTGCTTTTCCTCTCCTTTTCTCCGCAATCCAACGCTTTCATTTGCTTTCTTCCTCTCCTTTTTCTCACCGTCTTAACGCTTTCATTTGCTTTCTTCCTTTTTTCACCTCCTTAACGCTTTCACTCTTTTTGCTTTCTTCCTCTTTCTTTTCTTCTTAACGCTTTCATTTGCTTTCTTCCTCTCCTTTCTCTCTTAGGCTTTCCGTCTTACCGTCTGCTTTCATTTGCTTTCTTCCTCTCCTTTTCTCACCCTCTTGCTTTCATTTGCTTTCTTCCTTTTCTCTCCTTTTTTTCTTAACGCTTTCATTTCTCCTCTCCTTTTTCTCCCGTCTTAACGCTTTCATTGCTTTCTTTTTGTTTTCTTTCCTCCTTTTCTCCCTCTCTGCGCTTTCATTTGCTTTTTTCTCCTCTTCTTTTTTTCTCCTCTCCTTTTTCAGTCTTAACGCTTTCATTTGCTTTCTTCCTCTTTTTTCTCACCGTCTTGCTTTCATTTCATTTGCTTTTTTCCTCTCCTTTTTCCCTCTCCCGTCACCGTCTTAACGCGTTCCTTTTTTCATTTGCCTTTCTTCCTCTCCTTTTTCACCGTCAAGTCTTTCTCCTCTCCTTTCAGTCTTTTTCATTTTCTTCCTCTCCTTTTTCTCATCTTAACGCTTTCATTTGCTTTCTTCCTCTCCTTTTCTCACAGTCTTAACACTTTCATTTTGCTTTCTTTCTCTCCTTTTCTCACAGTCTTAACGCTTTCATTTGCTTTTCTTCCTCTCCTTTTTTCATTTGCTTTCATTTGCTTTTCTTCTCTTTTTTCTCACCGTCTTAACGCTTTCATTTTGCTTTCTTCTCTCCTTTTCTCACAGTCTTAACCTTTCATTTTGCTTTCTTCCTCTTCTTTTTCTCACCGTCTTAACGCTTTCATTTGCTTTTCTTCCTCTCCTTTTCTCACAGTCTTAACGCTTTCATTTGCTTTCTTCCTCTCTTTTTCTCATCATCTTAACCTTTCCTTTCTTCTCTTTTTCTCCTGTTTGCTTTTCATTTTTCTTCCTCTTTTTTCTCACAGTCTTAACGCTTTCATTTTGCTTTTTCCTCCTCCTTTTTCTCACCGCTTTTCTTCCTCTCCTTTTTCATTTGCCTTTCATTTTCTCTCCTTTTTCTCACCAGTCTTTTCATTTGCTTTCTTCCTCTCCTTTTTCTCACAGTCTCTTTCATTTGCTTTCTTCCTCTCCTTTTCTCACAGTCTTAACGCTTTCATTTGCTTTCTTCCTCTTTTTCTCACCGTCTTGCGCTTTCATTTGCTTTCTTCCTCTCCTTTTTCTCACCGTCTGCTTGCTTTCATTTGCTTTCTTCCTCTTCTTTTCTCACAGTCTTAACGCTTTCATTTGCTTTCTTCCTCTCCTTTTCTCACAGTCTGCTTGCTTTCATTTGCTTTCTTCTCTCCTTTTTTCTCACCGTCTTAACGCTTTCATTTGCTTTCTTCCTCTCCTTTTCTCACAGTCTGCCTTTCATTTGCTTTCTTCCTCTCCTTTTCTCACAGTCTTGCGCTTTCTTTTTGCTTTTCTTCCTCTCCTTTTTCTTTTCTCTGCCTTTCATTTGCTTTCTTCCTCTTCCTTTTCCACAGTCTTAACGCCTTTCATTCCTTTCTTCTCTCCTTTTCTCACAGTCTTAACGCTTTCATTTGCTTTCTTCCTCTTTTTCTCTTTCCGTCTTCTCCTTTCATTTGCTTTCTTCTCTCCTTTTTCTCACCCAGTCTTAACGCTTTCATTTGCTTTCTTCCTCTCCTCTTTTTCTCATTTGCTTTCTTCCTCTTTTCATTTTGCTTTCTTCCTCTTTTTCCTCTCCTCTTTCTTTCTCTTTCTCCTCATTTTTTTTCACCGTCTTAACGCTTTCATTTCTTTCTTCCTCTCTTTTCTCACCGTCTTAACGCTTTCATTTGCTTTCTCTCCTTTTTCTCACAGTCTTACTTTCATTTGCTTTCTTCCTCTTCTTTTCTCACAGTCTTCCTCTCCTTTTCATTTGCTTTCTTCCTCCTCCTTTTTCTCACAGTCTTAACGCTTTCATTTGCTTTTTCTCTCCTTTTCTCACAGTCTTGCTTTCATTTTGCTTTCTCTCCCTTTTTTCTCATCGTCTCTTTCATTTGCTTTCTTCCTCTCCTTTTTCTCACCGTCTTAACGCTTTCATTTTTCTTCCTCTCCTTTTTCTCACAGTCTTAACGCTTTTCATTTGCTTTCTTCTCCTCTTTTTTCATTTATTTTTCTTCCGTTTTCTCACCCCTCTTGGGCTTTCATTTGCTTTCTTCTTCTTTTCTCTCACCGTCTTAACGCTTTCATTTGCTTTCTTCCTCTCCTTTTTCTCACAGTC